TATGTACTTGAGCATGGACATTTCCATACCAATACTGACACTGCTGGAATGGCTCTCAACAGGCGGGGTGCGAACTTCACCACTGACGAGGACTGCCAGCTAGTTTGTTCGTGGTTGAACATATCCCAAGATGAGTCTAAGGGGAGCGGGCATAAGGCCGAGCAGTTTTGGGCCCGCGTGGGGGCGACTATTGCAGCTATTGCGAAGGGAGGACATGGACGACGCTTGGGAGATCCTAAGCACGAGTAATGGACCACACCAAACACCGGGGCCAAGTGCGCACGTTAAAAGTGACCATAATGAACACCCAACAAACTTATTGCATTACTCCAGTATGTTGCTCCACCAGGTAGCTAAGGATCGTACTGTGCGATGGCAGTCCGGACGTTCATGCCTCGATGGTATTGCACAAGGTTGACCCCAAGCCTCCATAGTATCTGGAAGTGACAGTTATGCGGATTTTGTACCGTTTTACCGTTGGGGTTGCGCAAAAGTAAAATACAGTGACGGTAAACGTCAAAATACAGTCTGATTATACCGTCGCACCATTGGGGATGCCCTAAGTCCTCAAAACTACCCGTGGTGTGTTAGAAATAAGTACACAGAGTAATGATGTATAACACCAGATTTTGATGAACACATTCTTGTTGTATTTGTTTTGTTCGCCCATATAATCTGTTTACTGTCACCACAATAAAGTGTACAGAATGAATTTATACGTAACAGGATGTAATCCATAATCAATGCTCCTTGGTTGACACGGTGACGACCACGAGGGTTCCCGCGAGGTAGAAATTGAGAATCGCCGTTAAGTGCTTGGCGCCGTCCATTACGAATGGTGCGGTTGACAAGTCTTCGCACTTGTATCGTCATTTCCAGCACGGCCGCCCCGAGTGATTCACACACGGCAATGAAGTGCACACATACGTGGTGTCGCTTCCAGTATATACAAACGCACGTAGTTTTGTTGTTGAATCTGGTCACTTTCCAGCATTGTGGGGGTTGCAGATATTTCTCTATGCAGCGCAGGTTCCTGTTGATTGGATGGTGCCTCGGGGTCGCGACCTTGCCCGAACGCAACCTCGTCATCGTCATCTGGCGGTGCATTCAGATGTTGAGCTTGCCATGTCGCTGGCATGTCAATAATCCGTGCAGAAACTACCAGTAGGTGCTTGTTCAACAGACTTGCATAGTGTCGTTTTAGCCTTTCGCCAACTTCGACAGTTGTAGCCCATGGAAGTCGAAGGCGCGATTCCCGCCGCATGACCTTCATCGCCTCTTGTATTAAATGCGGGACATGGAGTTTGCCATTGTGAAGGAACTACCATTATTAGATTGCGTAAAGTAGTATGTATGTGTGGTTATGGGTAAACATCCACTTTTGAGCTCATTCGGGTTGTTTGTAAGGGGCGTTCCATTGGCACTATGGTACACTTGCCATTTCCAGAAACGTTCCTCGTTGACACAGCTGTAGGGACCACCAAAGGCAGCCACGTGTCGAAGAAATATGTTCTGAACTTGCGGTGTATACGATCAACAGACCATTTTTGATGCACCCGCTGCATTTCTTAAGACAATTGGTTGTAGTTTTCCGCCATATGTAACTTGTAAATGTCAAACGACATTTCGCACTATTTCGCCGAGGATAAACCATTTTGCTTCTCGTATCACTAGTACAAATTGCCAAAATATCAGCATAAATATCAGTCTATAACTATTCAATAGTGTTAGAAGTACCTTCTTCATGACGTGGAAGTAGCACATAAGGTATTGAACACCTGGTAGGATGAGACGCAGTGTATTAACCATCCCATGGTACTGAGCATGGTCTGCATCTCCCATATCGTACGCCACGTGGGTACGAAACAATTCAACAACTACGCAAAGTCTTGGTTGGTTCTCTGGGATGTGATGCACAAACAGAGCACGTGAAAATGGCCTGTGAAATCGGAGTATCCGAACACAAATAATGATACCCCGACTTGTTGGTATTGAACGTCGTGTCCACATGGAACAGAAAACATTAGATCTACTACTGCAATACAGACAGTTCGTGCCTTCGTTGCACGAGGTGGCGCATGTATGTTCCTGTAGTTCACGTGGCATTGCGTGCACATCACATATGTCCACAGTGGCTGTCGCAGACACCAAGCACACTCTAATCCTGTACGAAGCGTTGCATCGTGGCACAGCCAATTTGCCGTTGATGACATCTTGCGGACACACAGCGAGTATACTTGATTTGCATTTCATGCGGGTTAAAGCACGTACGGTGAAATGGGTCGCCATGGTTGACAGTGCAGCCTGTACGATTGCAAGTCGAAATACGATGCGAGGGCAGCGTATTAAAAAAGGCGCCAAGCTCTTGCTCGGCTAGCGTGGCGAGGTTAATGTACGCTCCCCAGCCATCTCGATGGACCTGTAGGCGAACGTTGTTCTAATTTGGCCTAGGAGCGTCAAGTTGTAATCCTCGTTTCGTTAAAATAATTGACATTAACCCAATGAAGAGCAAGCTACGTCAAATTGCCCAATGACGTTTTGATGCTAATGCCCATTTCAGCCACTCAGCAACGAGATAGGTCAAGCTGACCAGGATGGCAGGTTTAATATCAGGTTAGTTGATCTTAGGCATCTTTCGATTCGTTTATCATACAAGTCTATTAGTAAATCGCAATTCTTAGTGGGCCAATGGCCTTGTATATCATCGTTTTCTCAACCAACCAGTAACTAGAAATACGAATTAATAGTAAAACTTAGCTGGCCTATTTAAATCGTTAGCCAATCATAAAAGTGTCGAGAATATTTGTCCAATGACTTGATTTCCTCATAAGCCAATGAGAACAAGTAATGTAACATTATTGGCAAAAGGAAAATTCACATTTGGTCAATCGGTTAACTCATGCGCCAATCAATGGCAAGTATTATATCATTAAATGGTGTCATTCAAACACAGTGTTATGCCAAACAACACTGGTATTTGTATTAATACAGCTGTTACGGTTGTGTGTGTTGATTTTACAGGAATGCTGTTGTGCGATGTGTGTTGAACGCAAGTCAATTTGTTATAACAGTTATAACAATATTTAATTGTGTTATTCACTCAATGAAGCAATAATGTTAAGGCCCGGGTGTCGCGTCCGAGAGTAATCCTTGCACAAGAGAACCGTTAACCCATTATCCTGGTCGTTACTCCCAATGGCTGTAATGGCCCAGAGAACTAGTGCGTAGGATGGTGAAGTGCACGGCTTGCAACAGACCCCCCGAAGGGATTAGAGCGAACACTTGCCTAGTCGGAGGTAAAAAGCACAATGAACTGCCAGACACAATCATGTGAGGAAGTTCACTCTTAGCCAGTCAATACATAACATGTGATTCGTGCATAATCATGGTAGATATCACCACACGTCACTTGTTCTCCGTGAGACGCTTGACAGCTCCGAGGGTGAATGCCCGCCATAGGATTTTTTCGTTTTACATGTTATTCAGACCCAGCACTGGTCCTATACATGTGCGAAAAATTCGCAGTAAAACCAGTGTATCATTAAATATTCCTAAAGTTTACCTGAGATTCCCTAATTCTTCTGTGCAAAAACATTTGACTCCGTCCGACTCACCTAAGTCTTCACTAAGTCCCGAGAAGCCAGCTTCATGCTCGAGATGCCCAAATGCAAGTGGCGTCGCTCGTCTGTACCATTCCTGGGACACATCATCACGCCGGCTGGCATCAAAGTGTGCTGCGAGTCAAACCGCTCAAAGACGTGTCAGATGTCCGTGCCTTCAAGTTACTTCAGACGCTTCGTCCGAGACTACTCCAAGATTGCAGCACTACTTTCAGCCTTGGTCACAGACGAGACCTTCGTCTGGACGCCTGACTGCGAAGTAGTCCTTGACAAACTCAAACACAGTCTCGTCTCGCCTCCCATCCTCGCTCATCCCGACTTCGACCTGTCCTTGGATGTTTGGGTCGACGCAAGTCCTCATGATGGCAAGAACCCCGTCATTGCATACGCAAGCTAGTCTCTCTCCAAGGCCCAACAGAAGTGGATCACCAAATAGATGGGTATCAAATCGAATGCTGGGGCATCGTCTGGGCTCCGCGCAACTTCCGTCCATATCTTGACCGTCGACACTTCACCATCTACACCGACCATGAAGTTCTCATTTGTCTATTCAACCAAGGGTCCTGATCAGGCAACCAGAAACTTGCCAGATGGGCCATGGACATACAATGACTGGATTACACTGTGATAGACCGAGCAGGCGAACGCAATGGCGCTGCTGACGGACTATCACGTCTACCAGTTTGTCCGATCCAGACAAGAAGTATGAGACGTCTGGCCCAGACTGACCCAGACCTTACGATGGGGAAAACATCTAGTCGAACCAGGTCACCTTCGTCTGAAGCAATCTCCTCCCAGTCGAGTCTACCAGAACCAACCTTGAACAACGCCCCCCAGCTCATTGACTTGTACGACCGGGCTCAATCTTCGCCCCGACTGTACAACAAACAAGCCAACGACACTTGAATCTTAGAGTTGAGGGCTTACCTAGACGAAAGCGTTGTGCCCTTGGACCCTCACTTACTCAAACTCGTCGTTTGAAACAGTCAACAGTTCGTCGTCAGACAAGGCATAGTCTGCCGAAACATCACGTTCAAGACACCCCTTCGAAATCCCGAGCTCGTCCTCGTCCCGGTCATACCATACACGCTCGTAGAAGACGTGATTCATGCTTCCCACGCGTCTCGCTTGGCTGGACACCTCGGCTACATGAAGACTCGGAACGCCTCAGACAAACGGCTGCAATCGAGCTGATCCCCGAGGGCGACCAAGCACCCGACGACCGTCTACCCTCGTCCAGCTTTGTCGAACGCGTATCGTTTCCTGATGACGACGTAGCTTACTCGTCCAGCATGTCACCGATTTTTCGTGTAGTCGACCTACGTCGTCTGCCCAACTCCTGTGAAAAGGAGTACTTGGTAGAACATGCTGACGGCCTCAAATACTGGATGGCCGACTGACTGACTGCAAGCTGCCCGCGTACCGATCATTCATGGACGACTTTGAACCCTCCAGACGAATGAACATGGGATTGCCTCCACTTCGTCGTTCGAAACGATACAAAGAGCTCAATGTGGAGCTTAAATCGCTGGTACAAATTTGGAACGCTACGTGCTATCACGAACTACCCCTCGATCAAGTTCGAAGACTCAGGTCTGGCAGAGCGATTTTATCGAAATCAAATATATTACAAAACCGGCCTGTATCACGACGACTACCTTAACGATTCTTGGTCGCATGGACGTCGGCGGACGGACGTCCCAACACTTCAGTATTGCCCACAGGCTGTCCGGAACTCAAAATCTTGATTTGACCCAAAACCACCACGAACTCGCCTTCTAAATTGGACTCCGAGGAATTCTGTCTCGCCAGGCCTGTTGTTCGTGTGTTAGTGAGGTGGTAGCGTGCCTATTTTACTGTTAGCAAGCCCACTGCCGATTATGGATAGGAATATACACTGTACGTACTGAAATTGTAACGTACAGTGTACCGGTACACTTTACCTAGTTAAAACAATGTATTGCATACCGCTTTCCCTGTGAAATGTCATATAATATTTGGACTTGAAGTAATAAAATTGTAGAGAGGGCCACTCCAAACAGTGATCATTGATACAGTATGCCCAAATGCAGATTTTATGAAATTATTGGAAATGCTTCGAGCAAACGATATAAATATCTATTTATAAAAGCAAATAAGTATCATGCGTTCAAAGTACCTCTGAATAAGGTTGAAATTCTATAACAAAATTCCCCGAAAAATATCAACTAACCAAGGGTTTCATTGCTACGGTAAATAGTTTTATCCAATCATATCAATTTTGTCATCCCATTGGGCAAGACGTTCGGCAAATCATTGATTGTTTACGCTATCACCGAATGGGCCACTGAATTTGTATATACCTTGTATACTAGTATGGACAATTCCTATAAATCAGATATAGCTTGATATAATTATGCGGAAACACAGTGAAAATCAATCATCATAGTACTTCTTTGCTGTACTATAATATCTACTAAGTAGTATTTATAGTACAACAAAGAAGTACAACTACTACGTAGTAGTTGTACGGTACTATTAACTGTTAATAGTAATACTAATACTGTATTAGTACCATGTACTGTACTGTAGTATATACAGCGTCAAAGATCGTCCTTTACAGTACTGTTCTGTACTACTCCGGAGTTCCGCAGTACATTGTACTACCGTAGTATGTGCTAATCAAGTGAAGTACGTACAGTACTCCACGCGGATGTTACAGAATGGAGTAATTTTCAGTTTCGTCTGACTTGTTTTCGTCGGAGCTAGCTTCAGCCATATCGTCTGTGTATACAAGCTCTTCAGACGAACTTCGGGGCTCCATGGATAGATCACTCTCGTCGTCGAGGAGAGAGGCCAGTTCACGACGAGCGGTAGTCAAGGTAATATCGGCGGCCTCGTCCGAGTCTTCGGCCGCTTTGCTTCGTTTCTCCAAGTCTCGTTGCTCGGACGAGTTGGAGTGATGTTGGATTCGGTAGTTGATGTCTCGCTTCAACTGTTTCTGGACAGGGGTGCCTTGGGCAGGTTCAGGCTGACTTTTACACTTCAGAGCTGCTGCTAAGGAGGACTTCGTCGTCAGCCACGCTCACGAGGTCAAGTCTCGTATCGCTCGGGGCTGGGGCGGCTAGGGCGACATCCGTGTCGACTGCGATTGCTTGGACGGGAGGTGGATCAAGAGGTCTTTGCTCATCCAGGTGTGCTGGATTTCATGGTTTGGCAGGAGCTCCTTCTCCACCATTATTGTGACGGTCGTAGGGGTTAGACGCACAAAAGTTACGAAGGTCCGGAGGTTTGGACTTCAGGACCGGATACTCTCGGCTTGACCAAGAACACAGCAAGAAAAGAGTAGATCCAATGTTAGGCAAATGTAAAAGTGAACCATCTAAAAGCTAGCTAAAGCTGACGACCTTTGGGGAAAGGTCTGTAGAATAAAAGGCAAGACGGTCGAATTCGAAGGTAGTCGGCCCGTCGAATAATATACCTTTGCGATGGCAATACCACGAAGTGGTATAGTAGTATGAGCCCATGCTCCAGCGCCGCCACACTGCCCCCTCACACACGAGCCCCTCAAACCTTGCAGTCATTGTTGAATTTGCTATATGAAGACCATTGCCATTCTCGCGCTTGCCTCGACGGCTGCCGCCTTTGCCGCGGGGGATACCGCTGCCTCGGTACAAGGTCCTGACAGAAATCTCAGCACCGACACCCGAGTCCACTAGATCCAAGCCGACGCAAATCTCAACCGCAAGTGCCACACAACCAACGACGGGTACATCCCGACGTTGAAAGCTGGAACGTACACGGCCAGCAAATTCCACAGTTGTTTCCGCACGTCGAGCAATCTTCGAGTACGTGAATGCGTTAGTGGTGCACAACCCAACTGTGTTGAAAATAGAAGCGATTTCGACCACCGTCCAAGGCAAGATTATCTACGCGTACAAACTGACCAGCGGTGCGTCCAAGCCCAGGTCGTTGTACTACCAAAGTCTGCTCCACGCCCTGGAATGGATCGCGGGGTCGTTCAACTTGTTTGCGTTGTCTTCGATTCTGGACGACATTGCCAACAAGAAATACACGGCGGCGGACAAGTTCAACTTGTACTTTGTGCCGATCGCCAACATCGACGGGTACGACATCTCGTGGACAAAAGGCAAGCGGTTGCAGCGCAAGAATGACAACGAAGTTGACTTGAACCACAACTGTCCGACTCCTTCAAAACGTAATAAATACTGTAACGGGGTCCGGATAAAATCCGGACACAACATCCCATTGGTCATTTGTCAGTTCCAATCCTGTCCCGAGAGGACAGCTGGCACATCCAAGTGTCTGGAATCACTGGCTCTGCGACCTCCGTAGCAGCACCATTCATTTCACATGAAATGCATGACTGGTGCCATTACACCTGGTAGGAATCCAGATCGTCCATCGACCTTCCCCTCCGCCGCGCAATGTCCTCTGCACCATTCTCCTAGACTCACCTCGTTACGATCCGGCATATGCGTTCGGCCCTCGGAGAACATGAAACCTGGAGGTTGATCCACGCGCTGGCGCCTCCAGCACAGCTCCACCTGGTTGAAAGCTTTGTTCGCCTTGGCGAGAATGTCCGGTAAGACATTGTGGCGCAATTGCTTGCTTCCGAGCGCGATGCCGCGCTCAAATAGTTGCCGACCTCAACGCTCCAGGACGTGCTCTGGAGGATATCGTCCATAACACGATAGCACGCATGTACGCGCAATCAGCGTCGATCTTCTCGTGCGATCTTTCCAGTTATGCTATCCTCACTTTCGATACTCCCGCCTTGGGCGAAGGGGCGGGGTAACAGGCGTGTGACGTATGGGCAGAAACCACAACACCTCTTTGTGTAATTTTTCAGAAATATTTGGACAGTTTTTCGAACGACAGCTTTTGTGTGTTTGGTTACAAAATCTGACATATATAAATGGATATACGTCGAATTTCTGCAGTTTTCTGCCAGAAAAAAGTTTATACTGCAACTGTCCAATTTTTACGCCCAATATATTATTAATATTCCAGAAATAGTTCACGTGCCATCGTGGCATCCAGAGGTCACATCAAAATATTTTTTAACTATTTTCTCCCCTCCCAGATATTATAAAATAGTATTAGACATAGAAATTTCTGTGGCATCCAAACTAGTACTTTTGGAAAGACGGCGGTATTACCGTGTATTCGACTTTTGTGGTAGTATCTAGACCCGCCCTTTGTAATGATGAAATACTTGGATCCAGTGTAATATTTCTCCACTGTTGCGTGGACGCAGACTCGTTTTGAGGGGTGAACGAGCGGTTTTATCTAGTTGCTTAGGATCGCTGTTAATGGCAAGGGTTGTATGTATTCGAGAGGGTTGAGTTAAATACGATACACATGGACTGAATTCCTGCAATTGCCGCGATGGACTGAATTCCTGCAATTGTCTCGTCCGCTGTGTGTTCCAAGTATTGCATGAGAAACTCATTACGAGTTTACAGTTAGCCATCGGTGGCGGCCACATATCAGATCGTTTTGTGTATTATCCGTAGCTTACCGCGTTGCATTGGTGTCAACGACTCTAAGATGAGCCATCCCTTTGCAGTGGACTCGTTGATTCCATTTCCACGAGCAACGGTCTTCCAGGCTTGTCCGGCGACGTGTGCTGCGGCCACACGTCTCTTGGCAGAGAGTGGAACTCGCTTGTAGTGGCCACATCGAGGTGCCTACAAGGCATGTTAGCGGTAGATCGTTCTATACAGAGAGATTTACCCGAGTTTGTGGTGCAGGTATGGCCTATTCCATCGAGCTCAGATTTCAGAATGGTGAAAGCGCGCAAAACTCTTCGCGCGCTTCGATCTTTCTAGATTCTCAGCACGAATTATAATGATTGTTAGGTGATTTTAATTTTCGAAAGGTAAAATTATCCTGTGTTTGGGTGAATTTTAACACAAGTGAGGTGAAATATAACGGTTATATTTTACGTCTGGGTGAAATATACCAGTAATGGAGGTTGGGTGAATTAAAATGGGGGTTAGGTGAAATATATCCGCTGTTGGTGGAAATAATTTGAAATAAAGCTGAAATTAAACGCAAAATGGTGTAGTATTGGAGGAGTATACACGTAGACTATATAAGGTGATTGGCGAACATTGACTACCGTATATCCCGCAAATCTGTAACCATGCAAATGTTTTAGAAATAGTTACAACTTTACGGGAACACTTTAAACGTACCACTGTAGTTTCCGCTCAATTGCATCGTTTTGATTGGACAGAATGTTTAACCGCGCATACAATGAGCATGATTGACGAACACAAACCAAATGACTTCCGAGTCACGACGAAGTCGATCCACGTCTGGACAACGCAAAGCCATTTCATTGAGGTTTAAAGTAAAAGTGATACAAGCTTTCGAAGCTGCAACGGGTGCTCAGAAGACCTTCTATTGCATTGGGAAGGAATTCGGTGTCCAAACTGACCAAGTGTCTCGGTGGGTCAAGGCCAAGGACAAAATCAGCGCCAGGGCAGTGTTCAATCCGTCTGCATTGACCGTCAATGCTGGCCGCCCAGTGACCAACCCAGCAGTCGAGGCCGAAGTCCTTGAGTATTTCAACACTCTTCAGCAAGACGACATCGCCATCAGTACGAACATGCTCATCATTTAGGCCCTCAGTGTGGACTCGGAATTTCATGGCGGACAACCAAATGCGTTGAAGAAGTGGGTTTATATGTTCCTGCAACGACATAACTTGGTCATTCGCCGCCCAACCCGCCGGGCTCAAAAGCGATCGGGCCATTTGACGGCGTTTATGGAAGATTTTGGAACGACATTGGTCGCACGCTTCGCGCCGTTTGGAACGTTGGCGAACGTACCAGGGCGATGTTTTGTAAACATGGATGAGACACCTCTCCCTCTGGAGCCAGAGGTCAAGACAACGATCGCAACAAAGGGTTCAAGAACGGTGTCTGCACGCAAGTGTACGTGTTACTGTGTGCCTTGCAATCGCGGCGGATGGTAGCAAGCTACCACCATTTGTGGTATTCAAGGGAGTCCCGGGTGCTCGCATTGACTCGAGTCTTGGAGCGATCGTGCCAGCTGGCTTGTTCGCGACGTGTCAAGAGAAGGCCTTTATGGACTCGGACCTCACTGAAAAGTGGTTCAATATTGTTTGGAAGCCCCACGTCGCGAACGAAGCATCCAGTTTGTTGTTGTGGGATGACTTTGCTTGCCATAAAACCGCTCGGATTGGGCTCTTGTTGTCTAACATCGGCACAGAGTGGAAATTTTTCCAGGTATTTGATATATATTTTTGTACTCTATATATATATATAATATTTTTTTGGTGATTATTTGAGATATTTGATATACATTGAGGTGTTACAAAAATATCAATTCATGCAATTATCGAGTTATACGGATTTACTCGATTAGGAAATTCTGGACGCAAGAAAACCCGGACCGCCGAGGAAATCAAAGCCGCTGTTCAAGGGGTCCCTCAATACCATCGGCAGACGTGTCTTTTGTCAGGTGGGACCATTGGCTTCTCCAATATGCACGATTTGGTGCATATTGATGAAAAATGGTTCTACCTGACAAGAGTCAAAAAGAAGTTCTATGTCTATGACGACGAAGAAGTTGCAGCAAGGTTCGTCAAGTCGAAGAGCTTCATTACCAAGGTCATGTTTCTGGCCGCGGTTGCACGGCCACGCTACGACCCCACAAGGAAGACATTCTTCGACGGCAAGATCGGCGTGTGGCCTTTTGTTGAAGTCGTTGCCGCCAAACGCACAAGCAAGAATCGTGTCAAGGGTACCCCTGTGACCGTGCCACAAACGGTAAACAGCGATATTTATAAGGCCTTCGTGTTGGACAAGGTAGTTCCTGCCATATGTGAGCGATTCCCCTTCGGCGATCAAGGAAGAGGTGTACGAATCCAGCAAGATAACGCAAGTCCTCACCGTCACGTCACGACAGCGTTGCTTCGCAGTACGGGGGTTGAAAATATCACTGTTATCAACCAGCCACCGAATA